CTATTCCAAAGTCTTTCATGTCTCATTCAAGTCTTGAAATTTCTTAGACCTTGGTCTCCAACTACAGGTTACTCTCTGTGGTCAGAGGAAATATCTTACTTAGAAACAAAGGAAAGTTAACTCTCATTTACTTTAATATTTTTGTTGTTCAAACTTTTTCCCTTAAACCATAATACAGCTTATATTTTGTACTTACCTCATCATACTTTCAAAAGACAAGGTTTTGTTGAAATACATGCTTTTAAAACATAGAATTGTTTTGGATATCCACTTACTCATACATATATATAAATAAATTTGATTTTGTCTGTGGAAGGTGATGCTAATCCCTTGGGTGCAAAGATAAGACCATAAATTTGTTTCTGTTGCAAGTCATTATCCTTTGTAGCAGAGGCGTCCTGTGAGCCCGTCTATAAAAGGATTTGTTACATAAATCCCAGGGTCTCCTCTGACTGGCTTCCACTGATCTTATAAGTCCATTAATCTGTTATTCCTTGATTTCCTTATTCATTAAAAAAATGGAATAATAATAATCTATGCATTATGGGGTAGTTGGTCTCAACTACAGAGATTTTTGAAAAGTGATCATTAAGTTTGGGGATTTCACTAACTTCGCCCATTTTACAGCATTTAGACGCTCACCAGAACCCTGGTGTGAAAAAGAACTAGAGTCAGAATTTGTTTTAAATTGTTTAAATTTATTAAATTATCCATAGATTGAAATCATTCAGCTTTTCCTGGTGTCTCATGAAGGATGGGTACCAAGAGTAGATAAGAGTGGGCATTGATATCGTCGTGCAAATATAAGAATGGATTTGTGTTGCCACTACATGTACTTAGTGAGCAGCATCAATAAAAGGACAATTTTAAAAACAATGGCCTTACAAAATTCAATAAGCTACAGAAGGAGATTAAAAAAAAAGGAGCTTAATAAAAAGAGGAAGGAATTAGAGGGTAAGTAGAGCGGCCTGCTGGTTGGGACACTTCCCTGAGTGCCTCTGGCCAAACCACTTTTTACACCTCAGTGAATGAAATAACAGACATTCTCCTTTGGTCTCTTCCCTGTAATGATGAATTTCTGATTTTTCATAGATTCTAATGAAATTCTGCAAACTCTCAGTTTTTTAATGAAATTTTCTTCCATCTCCAAGTTTCACTGTGGTTGCAAAGTGATTGATTCCTTTGACAATGGATATGCATCACTCAGGAAGACAATTACCTGATAGTTACCTAAGCTCTGTCAGGAAATTCTGAACAAAATAGGTAACTGCAGGTTCAAATGAGTCCTAGGGTTGGTAGTCTCTGACACATATTTATTGTTCCATCCAAGTATAGTCAAGTAACTTTGTCTAGCAGCTTGTGAATGCAACTATTTTATGAGAAATTTTGGTGACAATCCTGAAAATAATGCTATAAGAAGAAAAAATATATAATTAACATTTAAATAGACTTTACTGTTTATGCAGTATTTTCCCCTGTGTTGTCTCATTTAATCCTCACAATAACCCCCATCGGTGTGAAGGTGTGTTATCCTCATTTTATGGATAAAGGAATTGAAGTTTCAAGAAATTACCTTATTCAGGTCAATGGAAGCCCATCAGAGAAGTTTGGGACTCAAATACCAAATTCTGTGTGCCTTCCACTAAACCACATTAACTCTTAGAAATGAACTTGACTTTTGTTCCTACTATTCAACTAATTCTGATGTTAGCCAGTCCCCCAATCCTGGGGAACCAGTAAAGGCAAAGTAAATATGTTGTCTGCATATTTGCAATAGGTCTTTGACATACCAATCCAGCAGCAATGAGCCATATAGGAGAAAGCACGTCCTCTGTAATTGGACAGTACAACCTGCAAGTCCTGGTTCCAATGCCTACTTGGGCAAGTTACCTAACATCTTAGAGTCTCAGTTTTCTCATCTGTGCAGTGGGTATGATGATACCACTTACCTTGTTGTGAGGCTTAAATGGGGTTAAATACATAAAACACTCAGCATGTAGTAAGAACTCAATGAATTCTAGCTTTAAAAAGTTATCTCAGCTGCGCTGGCCAGTGTGGCTCAGTTGGCTGAGCATCGCCCTATGCACTGAAAGGTTGCCAGTTCAATTTCCGGTCAGGGCACATACCTGAGTTGTGGGTTCAGTCCCCAGTCGTGGCACGTATGGAAGGCAACCAATTGATGTTTCTCTCTCACGTCGATGTTTCTCTCTCCTCCTCCTCCTCCCTCTCCCTCTCCCTCTCCCTTTGTCTCTAAAAAAAAAAAAAAAAAAA